GTGGGCTGCTTGTCGGCGATCCGAATTGAACGGAGCAGCTGTTGGCAATCTCCCAAGTCTGAAAACACTTGTCGACTTTTTTTTAGTCGTTTACTCCAGCAGTACGAGACCGAAGAACAACAGAATCTGTCAGAATCTGTCAGATTGTTGGACCAAGTTGAGCTTCATTTTTTCACCAACAGGAAAAACAGACCAAGAAGCTGGGACTCTTCTTGAACGGATGCACCAAGGCATCGAATCTGCGCAGCATGTCTTTCCGAGATCCGCGGCAGATCGAACTGCTGCCCTGTCTGCTGGGGGCGCCGAGAAGACTCGGCCCTCCCGCACGGTTCGGTGTGGGCGGTTCTCCCTGAGCTGTGGGGGAGGCGGTTCGCAGGTGTTTGGAAGCCGGGTTCTTGGAACAGAAAGGCCCCAAGGGAGGAGAACCTTAGCAAGCAACTAGGCTACTTCCGGAACTTCCAGTGTTCAGACGAAGGGTTTGGGAAGCTCATCTCATGCATGCAAAATTCACTGCGTCTACGGAACAAGCCCGTGATCCGGCACCAACAATCCTAGAGACAGGCTGGCATATCGAAGGTGGAAGCGAATTCGTTTGGGTCCTTTATTTCAGCGTATCGTTTGGGGTGAAGGGCAGGTCCACAGGTATCCACAGGGATCCACAGGGATCGACAGGGATGCACAGGGACCGTTAGAGTTGACTGGTGAAAGAAAGCCAACTCGTCGAGGCCCTTTAGTAGATGTTCTTAGCCAATCTTGCATAGACTTTCCAAAAGCATCCAAAAGCAGTGTTCTTCTTTGCTCCCGCCCCGCATATGATTTGTGTTTAATGTTTGTCACCAGCTGAGGCAGAGATCCAATCCGCCGGGTAGTCAGATTGTACAATTGAGCGGATCTGCTCCCATTTTTTGCTCCGCTCTCACTTAGGAGGTCCTTCTCCCAGAGAAGACCTCGTGTTCGACCGAACACCAACGTTTCGGCCAGTCCCGTGTGGTCTGGGTCGACCCATTTGGACCAGTCAGACCAGTCTGGAGGGCACCAAAGGGATCAACTTGTCCTGCTTGAGTTTGCTTTGAAAGTCGGACTTTCCAACCTGTTTCATGTTCTTCTGAAACCAGAATTGATAATTTCAATAGATATTTGTATACACCTTGATTGGAGTTTGAGAAGTTAGTTTGCTTTTTTAAGGCTGAGAAGGAGGGATGGGATAGTTGCTATATTATATGTTGCGATTGAGAAGTCTTTGATAGCTATCAACTCCTTCGTTTCTATGTTGGCCACTTGTCCCATGCGTCTCCTTTGGCTCGAGTACATAAGCAGCACGTCGTGCACGTGCACAATCATTCGGGATCAACTGTTGTCCAGCGTCTTCATCGCTCCTTGCAGATGTCCAGAAAAAAGACAATCGGAGCACGTCGTGCAACGTCTTGATCGGCAGTCTCACTGCAATGGCGACGCAGGGAGATGCAGCTCTGGCCGGGTGTGAAAGCCTCAGCATTCTTCGGTGGAATTATGTGTTGGTGTAACCATCAGCCTGAAGAGCCAGTTGATGTCGTCGTAAACTTTGTCACGTGCGTCGTCTCGCGAATGCTGTCTTCAGCCAAAGTCCGCCCAGGTGCAACCTGGCAACGCACCGCCCTCATGATCGCGGCTCGCCATGGTCGGAGGGCCTATTCTAGCTTTGGAGAGAATGAAAGAGAGAGAGAGAGAGATTTCAGAGATTTCCAACCACGCCAAGATGGACGTAAGTCGTAGAGGACTGCTATTGATCTCAAAAGCTTCTTGTCGGAAGCATCAAGATCAAACGGACTCCTGGTAGAGCGGTCGTGCGAAATTGCTTCCTGCATAAATTTGCAGTTTTCTGGTCGTGAGGGCAAGACGACGTCGTCAGCCGAGCGCTGGAGACGTCTTGCACACAACCTCAGTTGGATGTCCGCATCTTAGAGCGCTGTTCCACCGGCGAAAGAGAAGAAAAAAAGACAGAAGAAGAGGGGGCCCCGATAATAAGACCCCTTCAAAGGGGTCCTGATTGTTTGGGGGCCCTGCCCTTTGTTTCCATTTGGCGAATTCACGAACTCAAGAGTTTGACAGGTGGTGGATGAGCAAGGCAACACAGCGTTGATGATCGCAGCTCGCGAAGGGCACAAGAAGGTCTGTATTATCAACAGATTCTTGTCCGTGTTGCATGTGTTCGGTTGCTGGACGGAGAATGTGCAGTATCAGTTTTCTTTCGCATGCACAATTTCACAAGCTTGTGCAAGCTGAAGTCTTGTCTCGTTCCTAGATTGAATCAACTTGCTCAAGGGTGTTGTGAAAAGACATGGTTTCTGCCAAACAAACAATATTATTACACGGCTTCGCGGTAGAAGCCGCCCGCACAGATTAAAACCATAATGTGTCAGTGGCACTCCACGAGGATATGGGTTACTGGTGTGGGAAGCAGCAACTTGTGCTGTCGGAGCCGGTCTGTCTCGGTATGTCTGTTTCGGTCGGGCAGGACACACAAAACACACGCAAGATGTCAATAATATTCAATAATCTGTCTCGGTCTGTCAGTCTGTCAGTCTGTCTGTCTCTTTCACACCCACGATGTCAGTAATGCAGAGTCCCCGGGCTGCATAACCGGCATCGCAAATGCTGACTTCCGAAGCCATGCAGTTTTTATCAATTTTCAAAAAAACAGCACAAAGCAAACAAAAGCACACCATTTTCCCAACATGAAAGCGCGCCCCTAAGCTAAAGCTTATTAAGCGGATGAATCCAGCAGCTATCTTCGGTGCGGGAGTGCTTCCAAATGACACGACGGCGTGCTGGTCACCTCAATGCAATCCAAGCCGCATGGGCTTCGATCCAAGTGATTAGCATGAATCCACCCGTCTCGCCTAGACCGGCGACTGGCGCAAACGGCTTTTGCGAGGTGGTGGACATGCTCGTCGCTGCGGGCGCAGATCTGGCCATCCAAAACCTGGAAGGGCAGACAGCAGCTGACCTGGCACACACGGAGACATTCCAGCGCGCGCGTGCGCGCGAGGCGTTTGTTTGTCTTTTTGTTTTTCGGAGGTTTCATTCATGTGTTCCTTTGGGGATAAAGGACATAATTAGGTGTGGTGAAAGAACGAGCATGAATGAGCCTTGTCACCCTGCTGTTAAATGGTTTTGCTCATGGCCTTTCAGGAGGAAATCCGTGCAGTGATCAAGAAGGGCGAGGCGCAGGCAGAGGCCCTTCTGAGGCGCACTCTGTGGAAAAAAGAGGATACGGACGACCTTTCCATACCTGTCCTAATTGAAGAATTCTTTTTGCTTTTCCTTCAACCTTCCGCAGAACCATTATGGCGATGGCGAAGAAGGAGGAAGACAGCATGCCGGCTGCTAGCGGCAGTGCCGGCAGTGCTGGCAGCGAAGCAATTGCAGGAGGGTCGACAAACCCGTAGGATTGAACGCGTGAGAAACAAGATCGATTTGCAAACTTGCATGAATCCATCCTCATCAGCCTCCCATGCTATTGTGATGCCTGTGATCTCACTGAACCATGATGTAGAGCCTTTCTCTTGATGGTTCTACCGTTCTACCCATCCAACCGATCCTCATGATGACTAAAGGGTCAAATAAATCGTGGTTTCTGTGTGGTGTGTGTTTTCTTTTGGATTGGACCATGCGCTCACCACACACACACACACACTTAGTCACAGGGTTTGCAGTTAGTCATAGTCCCCAAAGAAAAGAATGGTGCAACGGCAAGGTGGCTGAGTCCGCGTAAACAGAATGTTTGAACAGTGGCGGTTCACTTGACTGCGAATGCACGCAGCGAAAGAAAATTGCTGAAAGCAGCGGAAGGAAACCTGTTTAGGGAACTAGCGTGAAAACCACCATGCAAACAAAGAACAGCGGAAAAGGTCAACAGTTCCAGTCCAGCGGCAGGTACGCGGAGCTGATCAGGCTCTGCTTCCAGCACAAGTGGATAGCTTCGTTGGGTGCAGTCTCCACTGTGCTCTGCACCCCCCTGCATGAAAAAGCTCGGTAGGGTGAACTCCTGGATACGGAGTGTGACACACACACACACACTATTGCATATTGGTAGTGCAGGTGTTTTTTAACATGCATTCACCTGCAGTGTGGGAAGGACTGAAAGGCCTCGAGATGCCCAAAGAGCTCATGGCGCTGGTGGGCGAAATGGACATGCCGCGCTTTGCCGCCGAGAGCCCTTACTGAAGCGATGAGGAGCAGAAAAAAGGGACTGACTTCATGTCACAGTCACCAACTACTGAAACTACTGCTAACGCAGCCAAAGAGCTGGTTGGAGTGTCAGGGGGAAGTGATTGTTGCATTTAAGGGCAGGAGACCGAAAGTGGCGATTGAACTCATGGGTAGATGTTGGCTCCGAGATTATTTGTAGGAACGGTTTTCTTTGTAGACAAGAGCTACACATTCCACAGAGTGCAAGGGATTATCCTTGGAAAGATCGGGATGGCAAGAGGGCTTGATATTTAGCTGTGCAGATTGACGAGCTAGGAAAGGGGGCCACATTCAGATGAAGCAATGGTATGTCGTACTTTCAATGGGACGTGACGTGCCCTAGTTTGGCAGTTTGGCAGGGGCTGCGTGTCAATGGCTTGGGCGTTTGCTCCGTGTCTACCGGACCGAAACGACCGGCCCACGAACCGGTCGCTTCCTTTGGTGGCTGAATAGTATGGCTGGCCTCCAAATGGCTTCCAATGCCCACAGAAAGCCCGGCGCGTGATTTTCAGATAAACTCGGGTAAATCCGAGTAGTGAGTAGTCATGCTTCCATCTCAGTGTATAGTCTGGGAATCCACAGATTTTCTGCCAACCAAACACAGCAACATCTCACGAAAATTTGAAGTGTTGAACAGCCATAGACAGACCGTTGCACAGCCAAACAGAGATTCAGAACCAAAGACAGCAACAGATGTCCAGAGTTCAGGGCGCGTCATCTCGAATTGACCGAGCGACTGCGTGAGATTCTGGCTATGGACAGCAGCTCACATGCTAGGCTTTTGTGCAAAGGACTGGACTTTTCGTGGCCAGAGAAAACTGATTTTCTTTAAGCGCACACACAATGAACTTTAGCAAGGGTGATTCGCTCAGCCCAAGGGTGAATCTTCCGTGATAGGACCTGCAGCCTGCAGCCTTCAAAATTTTTGTTCGGGCTGCGCCGTTGAGAAGGCCAGAGAGGGGTCCTCCAACTGCTGTTATTGAGGTAAAGTGTGAGGAGCCGTGGTTTGCAAATTGTTTTTATCTTTCTCGTTCGAGCTGTTTCCTTGAGACAAGATCTCGCACGCTTATTGACATGCGTACTGATGCGGCTGCGGTTGCCACACGCCGGCCTAGGTATCAGATTTTGCTTGAGTAAGCCGGCAGAACGACAAAAGTAGGTTGGAGGCCATCGCTTCGAAGTTTGGAGGTCATCGGGAGTAGGTTGCGCGCCAAAGCTGAAAGCGACACCAAGCAACAAGGTTGGAGGTCAGCGCTAATGGGTTGGAGGCCATAGCACCAGGTTGGAGGCCAGCGCTACGTACGAGTTTACAAGAAAGCAGCATCAAAGCAACAAAGGTTGGAGGTCATCTCTAGTGCGTTGGAGGCCATCGCACCAGGTTTGAGGCCAGCGCTACTAGTTCACAAGACACAAACTCAAAAACTCAAAACACATCAAGCAGCAAGGTTGGAGGTCAGCGTTAGTTCGTTAGAGGCCGCGGCGCCAAGTTGGAGGTCAGCGTTACAAGTCGGTAGCTAGAAAAGGAAAGGGAAGCCTCCTGTTTGTTGCTAGGGGCGAGACGAGCGAATTGCCCCATTAGATAGATAGAGAAAGACAACAGAAGGAAAGGAACCGACGCACACAGTCCGCTGAGAACCACTTCCTTCAGTTATCCGTTAGGTTTGGGTAGGTGCAGGTACACAGTGGAGCGTCCCCCACTGCATCAGCACCAACTGATACCCTCTTCGTTGGACGGGTAGTATCAGCGGTGACCCATCCCCCTGCAACAACCAACTGGAGGCGAGAAAAATTAAGGTTGCGAAAACAGACAAATGACGACGTGAAAGGAGGACGAGACAGACCGTAGGACCGTAGGTATGTGGTTGCGATGAGAGGAAAAGATGAAACCCACCTCACTGTCAGAACCTGGACGACCTGAAACCTGGATTTGAAATGGATGTGAATGTGCGCGTACATACTAGGGCCAGGACCAGTGTGCGCGCAAACGAAAGAAGGAATGAGATGACAAGACATGAAGACACGGAGACATGAAAGAAAAGAGGAAAAGAGAGGTGTGTGAAGGGGAGAAAGATGAAAAGAAGAGAGAAAAGAAAGAGAAACAGAAAAGGGAACAACGGTGTTCCCAGCTACGACAAGCATCCAAGGACACACCAAGAGAAGAAGAGAAAGGTTCCCAGTATGACAGAAGCGCCCAGGGACACCCAGGCAAGAATTAAGGGGGAGGAAGAGAGAGAGAGAGAGAGAGATGGAAAAAAAGAAGAGGCTACGAAGCAAGCGTCCAGGGACACACGAGGGAGAGGGGTGTACCTGAGTGTTGCATTCAGGAACAGCGCAGAAGGCAAAGCGCCGTGCCAAAATGGCTGGCTGCTCTGACCGCTTTGGTCACCTAATGGCTTGTCCGAGGACTGCCTACTTGGAATGCAATAATCCGGCAAGTCCTGGCAAATAACTTTGGCATAAGCCTCCTACGCTCACTGCGAGCTGCTCTGTATCCGGGCAGGGGATGTTCAACGGGTCCACAGGGGCCACTCGTCGGGGTCATCCCGGGCCGACACTAAGGTCAGACACACTTATTGACGTGCGTACTGATGCGGTTGCGGTTGCAGGGAACAGATTTTGCCGGAGTAAGCAGGCAGAACGGCAAAAGTAGGTTGGAGGCCATCGCTAGGAAGTTGGAGGCCATTGCCCAAGTTTGGAGGCCATCGCGAGTAGGTTGCGCGCGCAAGCTGAAAGCGACACCAAGCAACAAGGTTGGAGGTCAGCGCTAATGGGTTGGGGGCCATAGCGCCAGGTTGGAGGCCAGCGCTATGAGTTTACAAGACACAAACCGAAAAGCAGCATCAAAGCAACAAAGGTTGGAGGTCATGTCTAGTGCGTTGGAGGCCATCGCACCAGGTTTGAGGCCAGCGCTACTAGTTCACAAGACACACACTCAAAAACTCAAAACACATCAAGCAGCAAGGTTGGAGGTCAGCATTAGTTCGTTAGAGGCCGTGGCACCAAGTTGGAGGTCAGCATTACAAGTTGGTAGCTAGAAAAGGAAAGGGAAGCCTCAGACGAGCGAATCGCCCCATTAGATAGGTAGAGAAGAACAACAGAAGGAAAGGAACCAACGCACACAGTCCGTCGAGAATCATTTCCTTCAGTTATCCGTTAGGTTTGGGTAGGTGCAGGTACACAGTGGAGCGTCCCCATTGGTTGGACGGGTAGTATCAGCGGTGACCCGTCGCCCTGCAACAAAACCAACTGGATCCCTGTACACACATACACCTAGCAGATTCTTGCTTAAACTTGATCTGTCGAAAGGGCGCTGTAATTCTGTGCTTCAGTGTAGCTCCATCAGTGTCAGTCTGCTGTGGACTCAGTGGAGCTGTTCGATGATCTTCGCAGCAGTGTCAAACCGCAAATGCTGCATCTGGCATTTTGCTCTCGACTGCAGCATGTACTCAACCTTGGTGCCTGCACAGGAGATTGAAAAATTCGTTTCCCTTTTTTGGCAGTAGCACATCGTGCCTGTTTCGAATGCTTTTCAAGCTTCTGGTGCAGGATGTTTTCTTTGCACTTTCTGTGCTTCAGTGTCGCTGCGTCAGTGTCAGTCTGCTCTGGATTCAGTGGAGCTGTCTGATGATCCTCGCAGCAGAGTGTCAAACCGCAAATGCTGCGGCTGGCATTCTACGGTGTGCGTGCTTTCCACTGCAGCATGTACTCAACCTTGGTGCCTGAACAGGAAATTGAGAAATTTGCTTCGTTCTCTTAGCAGTAGCACACCGTTACCATTAAGCATTTTCCCAGTTTAGAACACGACAAAGTCTTTGCAATTTGTTTGATTGTCTGTATCTATGCCAGTGTCAGAGTGCTTCTGGACCATGCTTTTTCAATGAACCTTTTGCCGTTTTTTTTGCTTTCTTTTTTCAGAGCTTGATGTTCTGCTGCTCTTTGGTGGTTTTGTTGGTTAAAGGATATGCTACTGCAGTCGTTCGCATCCTGCCGAATCTACACCCTGGTCGGTCGGTAGTGTGCATGTGCTCCGTGCTATGATGAGTACACAGTTTTGGAGTTGCAGCTGTTCGGGTAGGTAATTATTTGGGCAGCCAGGCAGAGTTACAGTTTTGGAACTTGCAAGAGGGGATTGCGCCCACCCTTTTTCGGGGTCGGGGATGCATATGAGTTGTCTTTCTTCACGTTAAGCATGAATATACATCACAGACCCAACCGGGACGTGCGAAGCTCCCTGGTGCGTTCGGAACGCGTTTTCCGCTGCGTTCCGCGGCAGTTGGAGCTGCCACACGGCCAGAGCCTTTCGAGCCTTTCGAGGCTTTCGAGGCGGGGGGACCGTGGGGTGGATGATCCTGGCGGACACCTTGGCCTTGGGTGTGTCCCAGTATACCCGTGACCGTTTTGAGAGATGAGGCCCGATTTTGGAGAAAGGCCTGCAACCTAACCATCATTATCCACTGTCACGGGTAATGGGATATTTCAAGAACATTGTGTGTGAAAACATTATCTCCTTAGCCTTGAAGTGAGGAATGTTGCCACAGGTGCTCTCTTTCATGATACTCTTTCACTGACCAAAGACTCGGACTGATTCCGACATGATGTACTTCAACTAGATTACAATATATATATATAATGTCGCCGAAGCCGAAGCAGACGACGAGACGTCCAAGACGGAGATTTGCCATCCGACCATGACGTGAAGGTCTGACTTACAGGTTATGTGAGATTTTTGCGGTTCTTGAAGGCAGATCTGACAGGCATTGAGTATGGGAACTGCTTTCTCTTGGCACCAATTTGCCGGTTCCAAAACGGGTCAATCCAATGGTTCTTTTTTCCAGTTTTTTCAGAAGATTGACTTTGTTCCTTCCCAGATCCGCATTTCGTTTTCATCTAGCCCTCCACTGGCAGGGCGCAACGTGAGCAGCCCGGTCCTCAACGCTGCACAAGACAGGACCATCAGTAGATGAAACACGGCACATCTCTCAGAGAGCAGGGTAATGCATGTCTCGATTTTGTTCTCTTGCAGCATAGTGTTTGTCCTCTTTCTTTATGAACTTGGAAACATCTGCAAATTTGTAGTAAACAATCACTCTCGTGCCCAGGAAATAAATAGAAGAGAGACTCCGAACATGTTTTGGACTTGTTCTTTCAATCTGGTGGCCACAGTCGACTCGTCCGATCCGGTGAAGCTCTGTTCCCGTCCGTCGAGGCTGGTCCCGGGTCGACGGCAAGGCACCTCGAGTCTTGGTGGTCCACCCCAGGCACCGGAGCAGGGCGCCGAGCGGCGCAGAGCGCGGGGCGCGGGGCGCGGAGCGCGGAGCACTGTGAGGCTGCCTGGGGAGAATGAGCAGTTGGTTCCCTGGGATGCTGCTGAGGCCTCCGACGGTGCCGGCGTCGAAGATTTCCAGGGGAACCCTACTTTTGGGGATGCCCTGCCCTTGACATCCCGTCACCATACCGTGATCAGATGTCCGCATCGAAGATGTTTCACTCGTCGAAGAGACCAACAGTTTTAATCGAGATACTGAAAGAAAGAGGCCGTGGCGCCGAACCCAAGGCGGTGGCCTTGGCACGAGCAGTCGGATGGCAGAGCGTTCAACCTGGCGAAAATCCAGGTGCCACGTGGTGAATTTCAGGCTTTGAGGTGTCCGACCGGGGTTTTTGTCGTTTGGAAAAACAGGGTCAGCTCCGCAGTGCTCCAAGGATCTTCCAAAATCTTCAAAGTAGAACTTCTCACCAAAGCAAAAGAGTGGATTGATTCCGAAGGGTCAGGGTGTTGGAAAAAGGACGAAAAGAGGGGGGCAAGACCCTGACATCCTGGATCTCCAATTTCACAACGATTTCGTAGGTTTGTTTCTGCATGTTTCTGCTTCTCAGGACTGCTCAGCAGCTCCTCGGAGGACGAGGAGTGAATGACACTGAGTCAGAGTTGTGCTTTTTGGGACGAGTACAATACACATGAGATCACATGAGCTCACCAGTTAAGGAGACTGAAAGTGAAGACGAGGTGGAAGAGGAAGTTGAGGTCCACAGTTTGGAACGAAACTACAGACACTTGGAGCTGGACTTTTGAGATCAGAAAAAAGATAGACTATTGAATAGCTGAAGACACATTACTGTCATTCTGGGCTTTTAAGAAATCACAATATTGCATGACTCACAATGACGTTCCAGAGACTTTTTGAACACTTACAACTGATAGACTCACACCTGCAGGCCTACGTCGCCGATGCCTCAGAGTGCTCCTCATGGTGGTCTTCGTTGTGCTCCGAAGCCGGTGACCCCCCGTCAGGGTTGGGAGCCAAGGCCAGACTCGAGAGAGTGGATCCAAAGTTCTACTTCCACGTCCAGGTGCAAAAAAAACGCTGGGTTTTCGCAGCATTTGGCTGTTGGCACCTGGGTTTGAAGCATTTTTTGGTTTTTATTGGGCGCATAAGCTATGTAAGAGAGCCCGTAGAGTCAAGGATCAATCTCATGTTGCCTTTTCGCATGTGACGCGGAATGGCATGCATTTGCCGACTTTTGGAATGCTGATCCAACAGCCTGCCCTACGATTTCTGGATTGAATCATGGCCTCCGGCAGCCAGGAGCTCTCTCGTGTGGCTGTGCTGGTAGCTCGAAGCAAAGCCGATGTGCTGTTTGTCCGTGCCTCGGCATCGGCATCGGCGGCGAGAGGTCCCCGACCTCCACGACCACCGTGAGCTGTGACCGGAATCCTTACCCATCGGCATCGAGCGTCGGCTGGGAGATAGGTGACAGATGAGGTGAACCCGTTCACTCGCTTTTTACAGCTGTTTGTTCTTTACGGCTGATCGGTTTTGCTAGGTCGAGGAACCTGAAACGGTCCTGGACTTTTTGCAGGTGAATGCCTCCCTTTCGCCAGCCCAACAGAGGCATTTGGAGGCGGAAAACTCACCGTGGCGAGGAGAATGCGGCGAATGAGAGTCCTCAACAGATAGCAAAAGCATTTGCTCATCAGGCTCTGGATGCATCAGGCCAATGTATTTGACACATGGTACGACCGATCAAAAGGTCGGCCGTTCCTTTTACATCCTGAATCCTTTTACCTGTTTTTGAATCGAAACGACAGATGATTCTTCGGAAGATGATTCAGCAAACCGACCATTTGCCTTCCACTCTCGCAAAACAACAAAATCACGAGCCTGCCCACATTGATAGCAGATAGATTCCCAGAACCAGAAGCCTTTTAGACCGTAGATCGAAGCGTGTGTTGCCTCACAGCCGCTGCGTCCATCGAACTTGGACCGATCACCTGGTGAGGTCGCCATGGACCTTGCTTGGCGTGCCGCCCGGCAGAGCAGATCCAGCGAGGTCCAGCTTCACCAATCAAGGCGAGAGTGGCGACCGGCGGCGACCGGCCACTTTTTGGGCGCCCGGGACCGAGGTGTGCAATGGATAGGAGGACAGCTGTAGCACAAGTCTGCAGTGCTTTGGGCAGGACATTCCACTTCACACTCGTTTTTTTCGAAGAGGCATCGTTTCTGGTTAGGCTGTACTCACATGAGGGCACATGGCCAAGTCAGCGAGCCGCGCCTCGTCTCCGCGGCGCCAGTATTTCTGTCTTCGACCGCTCCCGCACGGTCTTGGCCATCTTTGCACGAAGAGCTTCAACACAAAATGCCAGGCGGCATAACCGTAAACGTGCTGTGATACTTCTTGTGTAGCACCTGTGTTCGGTACCGTGCTGTTGAGCCAAACGAGCTTGCTTGTGTTGACGACGACGACGTGTTTGGTCCATGCGCGAGCTTGCCACGTGTCAGGCTGAGCATCGAGCTGGCCGAGGCTCAAGAGGCAGAGCTGCGAAAAGATCGTGTCTCAGACGCTGCGACCGTCGTGCCCAAGAGTGGTCGACGTGTCAGGTCAAGGCCAGGCTTGGAGCAAGGACCTCAGGAGTTGATGAGTCGCTTCTCGGGAGATGTAGGGTACCTACTTAGTTGCTCCTAGTAGTAAGGCCAGGAGCCCCTAGTTAGTAGCGTCCTTGCTCCTTTGGACTTTTTTTTGGTGTGCGGCTAGCGCCCCCGTGTGAGGATTCGCCCGGTTCCATTCGGCTAATCCTCGCTTCCGAGGCCGGGGCAGTCCAAGGCATCACCTTGTAGGGGCCTTTGGGACCGATGCGTCGTAGGCTGGAGGACGGGACTGATGGGAAGAGGCTGGAAGCAGTCGAGGCTGGAGGTTTATCGCAACAAAACGTCCCAATGTCTATTCCAACGGTGCTTTTCTCTTGTTCCCAGATAGCGAGAGCTCCTGGGCTTCTTACTTCAAGTGTAGGAAGAGGATGGAAGAGGTGCTTGTGTGCATTTTGGAGCTTGAGTGCTGGTGCCGCTGCAGGGTGCCGCTGCCAGATATTCATGGCCATGTGCGCTTTGGAGCTTGGGTGCTGCTGTCGGGTGTTGCTGTCAGATGTCTATAGTCTATAGTCTATAGTCTATAGTCTATGGCAGTGTGCGCTTTGGAGCTTGGGGCCGCTGAAGGGTTCTGCTGCTGCCCGCAAATATCTTTGGTTACTTGGGGTCTATGCTGGCGGAATTTAGCTCTTCTAACCACTTGTAGGTGTTGGATGTTGCGTGATGAGGCAGTTCTTTCGTGCCAGTATTGAGCCTGAAGGTTTCGGTACTGCTTTTGCAATGGGCCTCTTCTGGTGCGTATTGGGTGTGGTTGAGGATGTGTAGGCCATCTACACTCTGTGAAATAATCATGGAGGTGGAAAACCACCCGTTTGGTAGTCAAGAACAGGTCTTCCAAGGAGCCATGTCATGCATGATTGTTTCAGGGAGTGGAACGATCGCCATCCAACTTCACGTTCGCTCTTTGCATTTGCAGGTTGGTCCTAATAGCGTCCTTGTTCCTAGTAGTACGGCCAGGAGCCCCTAGTAGCGTCCGATCGCTCCGTTCGTAGCAATGCCCTTTGCTCCGTTCGTAGCGTCCTGAGGCAGCTGCAGCGCGTGGCCAACGATCTTTCAAGGAAAGTTGCAGGCGCGTGGCTTCGGGCGACTTCCGCCGGTGCTTTGCGGTGCTCGCAGCGAGGCACCGGCATCGGTACGAAACACCTGGAATGGGGTGAATCGCACACCGATGCCGTCCTGTATTGGTAAAGGAAATATCACTGAATAGGTCTGACTGGAACACGCCACCGTGTTGCAGCGAATCCTTGTTTGTTCAGCGGATTTCCTTTCTCCTCCAGGTTGTAGCAAGACTGCGCTCTTGTCCCGCAGTGGTTCCGCTCGTGGAGCAGCAGCCTCAGATAGAAATGATTCATACTCTTCAGAAGCGAACTTGCACTGCAGCTTGTGACAAGGAAGGGTGTTGTGAGGCCCTTTCGAAGTTTCATGTAAGGTGTCCAATTGGGTGTTCCAACAAGACAGGATGCCCTCGGTTGATGCCTTCCGTTTGATGGGTTGAATTTCAGCACCTTTCGCCTTCCTGGAGTCAAACAGCAAACGAACAACGACGAGAATTCGATGTCAGCACCGCTGCAGGTCACCACGTCATTCACCTCATCTCCACAGGTGATAAGTGTCGTGGCAGTTCTTTCGTGGCAGTTCTTTTGTGCACGACGGTCACGTGGCCAGATCACTCGGCAGAAGCAACAACGTGCCATCGAGGAGAAGGAGAAGAGGCTCCGCGAGGACTTGAAACGGGGTAAGACGATTTTGGGGTCTTTTCCGAGGAAAGTGGATGGAAGACACCAAAGTCGATGTCATGTTTTTTAGAGTTTTTTTGACCGAATACAATGACATTTTTCTCTTTTAGAGCCTCATTGGAATCAGAATCCAGAGCCAAAGCTCGGTGGGCAGTGGTCTTTAGCTCGCAGGTCTTTTGGATATCCATGGATTTGGGCTCAAGCAGAAAGACAGTCTCTGGTAGCTTCTGAAACATCTGAACTGCTCCATGAAGACAAGTACCTGCACCCACCCCAGTCACACAATCCCTAAGATCCCATGAGTTGTCCAGAAAGATACCCACCCGAAAACAGCCTCCTCAAAGACGGCCCGGCTTGCGCCCGGCCGCCCGGGTGGTGCAATGGCTTCACTAGCTTCGCCCCATGCGCTTCACCCCATGCTTCGCCGGACCAACGCTGATCGCCACTCGGACGGCAACGCGACCGCGACCGGCACGCGGTGACGGGCCATGCGCGCCATGATGGGAACATCGATGGGACGGGTCGCCCTTGATTTTTACGCACCCATCCGTTAAAGGATCCCAGGTTTTTTGAAGAGTTTGCTGTGATGCAATGGCTGCAGAAGCCACAGGTGAAGTTCAACTATTCGGATCATTCACATAGAATGGATGTTTCGTCGGTAGACATTGGACATTGTGGGGGTGCAAACAGTGCGCAACACTGCCAAGTACCAAGAAACTACTTTCAGATCAGGAAATATTCAAAGAATTTCAAAGACATATCCACTGTGCCAGGGTGCACGCCCTGGCAGCAGTAAAACCAACCAACCAACCGACCGACCGACCAACTACTGTACGTAACAGACAAAATGAAAAATTCTGAAACTCAATCTCGTAGTATCAAGCAGTCTCCAGTTCCACAGTTCTCAAAGTGATCAGTCGAGTCTTTTCAGCTGCAATGTGGCAATGTGGCTATGGCTCCAGTCCAGTGTCCAGTTCTCCTAGTGCTTGGGGCCTTGAGCCACCTTGAGCCAGCTTGAGCCAAAGTGACACACTGGCATAGTGACCATAGCCATCAGTGAGAGTGTCCTTTAACACAAACAAACAAACAAACAAATAAAGAAACAAACAACCAACCAACCAAACAAACAAACAAACATAAAAAACAACAAACCAGAAAAACACACACCAACAAACAGCACATTCCACTGTGTCCTGCTGAACTTTCATGATCAATATTTGTCAGCCAAGAGAGACTGCCGCCCTCTAGGTGCTTCTTTGTTCAGTGAAAGGAGACCCCTTGCGTGGACTCCCAGGGAACAGAGATGTTGCGGATGTCAAAATGCTTCAACATCAGGACTAAGCCAAGCCACTAAGCCTCATGTCGGATCCTTTCGTTCTTTCCTTCCTTGTCTTGGTGTTCCCTCTCTCTCTCTCTTTGTCACGCTGACGGATGCGGATGTCTCATGGGTGTGGAGGCCAGATGTAGAAGATGGATGCGAGTCTCATTTCTGGATCTCGGCCAAGAAGACTCTCGCAGGCACGTCGTTCTGGATGCCCGTCGCACGTCTGGTTTCAGCTTCTGCCTGGGGAGTTGGAAAGATTGGGCAGTGTCATGTCATGTCAGTCCTGATGAGGCAGCGAGACGCCGAAAGAGGAGTCAGTTGCCCAATTATCACTTCTTGCGGATCCAGGCCCAAGAGTGGTTCGCATGTTCTCTTTTCGATTGCCAAGCTTTCCATTTGTGAACAGCTGCAGAATGACACAACTGAGTTCTTTGCAATAAGGCTTGGAGAACCTTGTATTTCTCAGGAGATTTGAACGAACTGCATAGTTCCCACCAAGTGCTGTAAGATCTTTTCTTTGTCTTGCGCGGCCGTTGGCTCAAAGATCATTTCTCCAGCTTGTGGCATTGTGCAGAGGCCAGGTTCTGTTTCTGGGTACAGCAAGGGTGACCGCCACTTCCTCGTTGGACACCGGGAGTAGCTCTGCACTTGGGACTGGCCCTGCACTTGAGCGCTTGCTCTGGCTTGCTGTGAAGCCTTGTTGGACGGGCGCTGGCGCCCCTCCAGGCGTTCCTCGGAATTTCACAATGTTTGTCAGGAGGGGCGCTCCCGGTGAAGGAATGGCCTGCACTTCCGAGACTTGTGAAGTCATGCAGGAGCCTCAGGTTCACAATCCATGACATCACAGTCAGGAATTGGGGAGTTCTAGATCGGAACCGCCGTTTCACACACACAGAAGCCGGGGTCAGCCAACAAGAGGGATCTTGCCGACTGTTCCCTTGTTGGAGGCAGAGCCCTCAACGACGTGAGCGCCGCCCACGCTATCATGCAGAGGCACCTGAGTTGCTCACTATCATGCGAGCTTGCTGCTCTTTTCATAGTAACATAGTAACTGTTCGGAGTGGAGTTGGAGTGAGTCGTTCGAGTTGGTTCCTTTTCCTTTTTCTTTTGAAATAGGTGAGGTTTTCGGTTTCGTCCCAGGTTCCGGTTCGCTGCGGAGTGAGTGGAGGGGTCCCAGGGTGTCTCACGGTGTCTGACGGGTCCCAGGTCGGAGGTCTGATGCAGGAAGCTGCCATTGCTATCTCTGGATCTGAGGGAGTGAGGGGCCCAGGTGGGCGCACACCGGGCAGAGAGCGCGTCATGTGACGGGAGAGAACTGGCGAAGGCGTCCGACAGCCCATGTGGTTTTCGTCCTGAATGGTCCCTCTTCAGGGTCTGTGAATGGAGAAACCACTCCAAGCGAAACCCACTCCAAGCTGTTCTTGGAAGATGCTCCAGCAGGACCACATTACAAATCCCTTGCAATGAGAATCCACTTTAATATATATATATACTAATATACTAATATATATATATATATATACAGATCCATTTTCCTTTCGACCAGATTGCAGCTTAAAAGGGTCCGTTCTTCAGTGTGTGCCAGCACCGAAAGCACAGAACGCCTTTGCGACCGACCCCAGTCGCTCAGCTGCGACCGACATCTCAGGCCTGGGAGGATAAACTGAGGACAGACATCTCAGTGGGCTCAGACTGAGTTTCCTTTCCTTTCGGTTCGATCGATTGTTCATACTCGATGTCAAAGCGCACAACCCCTGAAAAAGGCCCTATGCCCAATCAGTGTTTCTACAACTGTTTGCTGTTTGCTTTCATTTGAGGTGCTTGAACTTTGAGAGATCCACAACTTGCCTCCTTTCTGTGATCAATGGTGTATCCTTGCGCAGCAATTTTTTTGCAACAGGTACCAATGAAGTGTGGAAAACACACACCGTTTTTTTTTTTTTTTCCGCCGATGCTGAATCTAGCGGGGGTTGGAGATCGTGTGCATTATTGTTACGTTTTTCTTCTTCTTCTTCTTCTTGCAGGAGTATTAGCAGCTCCAGTCTGAGCACCACAGGGACTTGCGATGCTTCGCCGGAGCCCTGGGGCGAGGGCGGCGAATGACTTGACTCCTTCTTGTTCCTTGTTGACTCGTTGACTGGGAGGATGGGTTTTTTTCGATATCAGGAAAACCAACGTTCCAACGTCAAGACCAACAATCAGGGAGTCCTTTTTGATTCCTGGACTTCAAGGTGATAGCCCATTGACTCTGGATCCACCGCGTCAGATGATTGACACTCGTGTCACCTTAGGCCAAAGAATTTTGGCGACGACGACGAGGCAGATCAGGTGCACAAACTGGAACCAACTCTGCTCCGACGACCATAAACAAATTGGAATGGTCCTTGGTTGCTCTCTTTGGTAAACAAGTGTCCTTTTCGATGTCATTTGTGCGTTCTTCCTCTCCAGGAGCAATTGGATCTGGAATCGCCCCAGTGCGACAAGTGACAACACTGCCACACCACACAGGATGGACATGACCCCAGTGTTCTCTTGCGCAGTCGGCCATACCTTGCCCATCTTTGCGTGCCAATTGTGCGAAGCAGCACAACCTTCGAAGCACCGCGAGGATGCCGGGTTTAAGAGCACCACTCGTGTGTCAGCATCAGACTACCAACTGAGCCAAGAAAAGGCTCAGTTTTGTGCAGTCTTCTATGTACAGGCCTTATTTAAAGCATTCGATTAAATGGGCCCACTTTCCATGGCCTCCCAGACTCGATCGGTTTTGGTGGGTTGCCCACGCAAGTCCAGTGTTGACACCGATCACATGAGGTGATCAATCTCGCAAGTCAACACACTTTCTTCGGGAACTCCCACTTTTGCTTGGAGCAGTGTGGTTTCAAATGGTTTGGGTGTCACACCATGTCTGGACATGTACAGCGAGGCTTTCCACCAACTGACATGTTTTGTATGAAGAGCATGCATTATTTCCTGCGACTGGATTACTTGTAATTGTCGAGGGGCAAAAAAGAACCTACATGAATTCATGCATTCAAGGCCAGCGCGAGAACAACGCCTTTGTCTGCGCCACCGGCGAGTCGGCGAGCGAAAACGTTTGCGTCCTTTCTTACGAAGAACGCTGCTTCCATCGTCAGATAACCCAAGCAGCTGCCGGCCTGGCCGATTCGTGCTCTCTGTGTGGGCCCCGAGAAGTGGCCGGTGCCGTGTTCGGCCGAATCAGGGCGGACGCAGCGGCCGTGATTCCGTGATCCAACGCCCCCCCGTTTCGATCCACGTGACGGTGGGGTTTCGTTGGGTTCGGGGTCCTTTTTTTGGCACCTCCCGTCGGAAAGAAACATGGACATCGAGTTATGAATAGAGGTTCTCTTTTCCGAATGGATGTCCTCAGGTATGGCAACTGGTCTATGGCAACACAAGCTTTCGTTCTCAGCACCTACGTAAGACGTCAGCACTTGAGCTCCTCGAGGCGACCGGCAGCCGCACATCCGACAGCATCTTTCAGGGGCCGCTGTCGGGTAGACCGTTACGAAGACAGGTCCCCTTGGACTCCCTGGGACTCCCAGGATTTTAAGCTGCACTTGGACTCCATGATACATGCCTTTCCACACTTGGACTCACTATGCTGTTCGTGGAAGTTTGTGGTGCCTTCGCAAAAAGAGATT